AGTTGTTAGGGAATGGAACACCCCGTGGTAGGAAGGATGCGACCACTGCTTTGTTCTACTTGTCTACACATACTTATAATCGGCACCTTTAGTTATCTTGTCCATGTTCGGAACCTCAAGAGCCAAAGAAAAGGTATGGTACGGTACAACTTTTGTTATTGGTTATTACTCCTTCCATCCCAAAATGAACTTCCCACTTTTCATTTTCGGGTGTTTAAAAAAAAAAAACTTCCCAACAATGATCATTTGACCAAATAACTCAAATGGCCCCTATTAAATTTAAATGGGAAGAGTAGGAGATCTAATGGGTTTGATCATCATTTATCGAGTGTTTTTTTTCTTACCCTTTTTGCTGTATTGCAAGCTAATAGGGTTCTTTAGCATTTGAGAAACCTACAAGCAGCTTATAAAGCCAGGGCAGGCAGATATACCTGAAATACAGCAAATGTCGTCTGTGATAACTTCTATTTATGAATCAGTTGATGGATACATACATATTAATTTAGTTCTTCTGAGTGGTTTAATCTTCTGTGGATATATAAAGAAAAAGTATAGAACAAAGCATAGTTGAGCAGAAAAGGAAACATGATCAAGTTTTTTTTGAAGGCTTTTTTTTTATATAATTATTTATAATACAGCCTTTGTAGGATTCGAACCTACATCATCATTTATGTAAAGTAGAGACACAAGTTTGTATGAGAGTTTAATTGTAACAAAGTTTATATAGTTATAAATCATTTCAAACCAGTTTTTTGCTCATATAATTTAGTACGAATTTGATTTTTTTTTTTTAATTAATTTGTTTATAGAGATAACCTATGTAGGAATTGAACCTACATCTCCTATGCATTTGCATAGTGCTCTACCAATTGAGGTAATAGGTTTTATCATATGTTTTAAATCATTTTCTATGTTATAAATTTTTAATCGGTTCATTTGATAAATCAACAAAGAATTGTTTGCTCATTTGATAAAATGAACAAAGAATTGTTGCTCATTTGATAAATGACCAAAGTTTGTTTGCTCGTCTGATAAATGAGCGAATAATTATGTGCTCATTTGATAAATGATCAAATAATTGCTTGCTCATTTGACAAATGAGCAAGATTTTTTTGCTCATTTGACAAATGAGCAATAATTATTTGCTCATTTGACAAAATGAGCAAAGAATAATTTGCTCATTTGAAAAATGAGCAAATAATTGCTTGCTCATTTGACATCATATAAAAGTCAAAGAAGACAACTATTATGCATCATCTCTTATAAGAAAATCTTGTAATACTTGATGAGGGCTAAATAATAAGACAAATATTATGCACCAATTTATTCCTTGCTTTTTCTTATTTATACAGACAACCAAGAATTAATTTGATCATTTGACCAAAGCTCTTATCTTACACCACAACTCCACCCTCACCTTATACCACAACTCCACCCTCACCTTACCTAATCACACGCACAACTCCACCAAAGCTCTTATCTTACACCACAACTCCATCCTCACCTTACCCAATCACACGCACAACAGCAGCAATATCACCACAACAGGCCACACATCCTAATATCGGCGCCACCAACCATGCCCTGTTACCAGCAATTTTGCAGCCATCGTTCCCAGCCAACACTAAGCTGCTGCTACAGTCCTCCCACGCCACACATTACAACACACCAATTGCTCGTCTGATAAATGAGCAAAGAATTATGCGCTCATTTGATAAATGAGCAAAGAATTATGCGCTCATTTGATATATGGACAATGAATTTTTGCTCATTTGACAAAATGAACAAAGAATTGTTGCTCATTTATCAAATGAGCAAAGAATTGTTTGCTCGTTTGATAAATGAACAAAGAATTGTTTGCTCGTTTGATAAATGAAAAAAGAATCGTTTGCTCGTTTGATATATGAACAAAGAAGTGTTTGCTCATTTTAACAAAATGAACAAAGAATTGTTTCTCATTTGATAAATAAACAAAGAATTGTTTGCTCATTTGATAAATGAGGAAAGAATTATTTGCTCATTTGATAGATGAGCAAAGAATTGTTTTCTCATATGATAAATACCAAGATTATCATCTGTTCGAATATCACCAACTAAGACATTAACCAACTACCCCCGTCTGCCACACCAATCTGACTACCCCTAACAACAAAGGGCAGTTCATTTTCCGCATCAAAAGTATCCGAAGTAATATCTACGAACTCATTCAAAACAAACTCATTGATAATAGAGTACCAAGTCACAAGATTTCTAACAAGCATTTTTCGGTTATTTCAACCTGTAGACATAGCACCTAAATGTACTATCATCCACTCTCTCTATCCTTTCTGCATACAACACTGAGTACTAACTTGCTGGCAAGCTCATATACTCCACTACTCTAGCAAAAGCAATTAGTTGATTTGAATTTATCAAAATTCGAACAAGTTGATTTGAATTCATCAAAATTCGAACGAGATGATTTAAAATCATCAAAATTACAAAAATCAGAACAAGAAGATTGGGAATTCAATTGAAATTATCAAAATTAAAATTAAATTAAGAAAAATCCGAAAAGTAATAATTGAAATTATCTAGCAGTGAACAAGAGGAGAGAGAAATTGTCAATCTTCAGTTGTCTCCATTGAAATCCCACCTTCAAATTTTGTAGAGAGAGAAAGAGGAGTATACAAATTATACGTAATTGGGGCTCGTAGTTGTTGCAAATTTACTAAAAATAAAGTAATTACACTAAAATTAGCTGCATATATTTGCAAATTCATCAACAATTTGTTGTTTTTCAGTTTAGCTAAGTGATTATATTGTTTTTATGGTGAAAATTTTGAGGCTCGTAGTTATGCAAAACTTCAGAGATGTTGGAATTAATTTCTTTTTTTTTCGGTTATTTATTGTCAGTATGATCAATTTAAAGTTCATAATACTGAAAGTCAAGTTATATAAAAATTTTGAGGTTAGAAATGATTTTAGAGATTGTTTTTTTTTCGCTTGAATCCTAAACAACTAGATTTGAAAACTAGCCTAGAATTCAAATTTATAAATCAATTAAATCTAGTTAAATCAATTAGAGACAAGTAAATTTTCATATTGTTAAACGAGTTATTTGTATTGGTTGAACTGAGAAGATGTAGTACTAGTTTCAATTGTTCTAGTGTTAATATTTGTTGCAAATTTACTAAAAATAAAGTAATTACACTAAAATATTTTAATGTAAATTAAAATGGTTCAAATGTAAATAAAATCTCTGTAAAGTAAAATTATTCTTGGTAAAGAGTGAAATAGGTCATTTCAGAACCTAGTTCTTATAATGAGAACAAATTTTTGTAAAGTTCAAAATTCTGTGAATTTTTTGATATTTTGGTGTATGAGTTTGTGTGAATTATTAAAAATATTGCAAACTAAATTTGATTTTAGATGCTGCTAGCAGTTGTGTTGGGTGTTGCGGTGGCATTGATGGTTGGGGGTTTGCGAGGTTTAGAGAAGGGGGGAAGATAGATGCTTGTGTGTTGTGTGTGAGTTCTTGATCGAGGATATCCATGTGTTTCTATTTTTTGAGTTTGAGTGTTTTGCAATGTGTTGTGCTGGTGTGTGTGAGGTTTGTGATAGCATAGCAGCAGCAAGCCATGGCAAGGAAGCAGCAGCTGCAGCAGCAGCCTTGGTAGACCCTTCGTAAGGTTGCTTATCTTGCATGGGCTGCCTGGTTCTGCCAAAATAATGCTTTATTTGAGTAAAATACCCCTGATCATGTCTCAGTTGCAAGCTGGTATGTTATTAGTGTGAATGTGAAATTAATATGTATGGATAATATACTTGTAACTGAGTATCTTTGCTAAATGTACCAGTAGTAGTAGTCAAATTTTATATCTTGAGAGTGATTCTAGAAGAGTATAAAAGGCTTATTGAAGGGATTAAAGCCGGACATACAATATTTTGTTCTCTACTCCTGCAAAGAGGTTTGATGTTTTTCATATGATATTGCACTTTGTATGGCCCATGAGATTAAACTTTGAGACATAGGTAACAATAATTGAAACATAGAGAAATGATAATAGGATTTTTTATTTTTTTAGTGTAATACAATCATTTTAATCTAATCAACTGACAACAGGATATACATACAAATGTTGTTATTCGATAACAAAAGTAAATAAAAAAGGATTATCTAAACCTATTAGCTCAAATGGTAGAGCACTATGCAATGCATAGGGGATGTAGGTTCGATTCCTACATAGGTTGTATTTTAAAGTATATAAAAAACACTTTAACGTTAAAAAAAAATTAAAAAAAAACACTCAAATGTAGATCAAAAATCTATAAACTAAATACTAATAATGTTAAAAATAAATCAAAAGTAAACAAAAAATATTCAAAGTAAAATGGAATAACTTAAAAGTAAATTAAAAATAAAAAGAACAAAAATGTCTTTGAAGTATGTGTATAATTAATTGGTATGACAATTTTAGTTCTTTGTTGTATATAGTCATGTATATAACTTTTGTTTCCTTAATAATGAAAAAATACTCCAACACTAAATCAAGAAAATAAATGTAAATAATTTTATATCAAAAGTAAATTGATAAAACTATAAAGTAAATATGAAAATAATAAAAGTATATGTATAATGAAACGACCCGAAGCGATAAATTGTATTCATAGAAACTCTAAGATCACCTATCCAGCAGAGGAGAGAATCTGTTTTTGCTAAGTCGCCTATCCAAGATGAGGCTCTTGCACTTGCATGCTTAAGATAACAACGGTCTGAATGGCAAGGAATTAAAATCAGGACAAAATCGAAAAAGCTCGTGTGATATTCCCAAAAGCAAGAAATCGCTGCTCTGGAGGTGCTATCTTATTAAAAATCTGTCTGAGATTAAACTCTTTCCTATTTTTGGCATTAGAATGGTTAATCGAAACAATGTTGTTCTGGCTCATAACCTGACAATCAAATCTAGGAATAAGGTTTAGTTTTTGCTTCCTGTATTCTTGGTTGTCACCAAAAAAAAAAAAAAAAAAAAAAAAAAAAAGAAGAGAGAAACTCTAAATAATTGACCTTCATCTCTCAATAAAATGAGCCAGCCAACAGTGGCGTATCCAGGAATTCCGAACTGTGGGTTCGAAATCTTAAAAAAAAAAAAAAACGATGATCATATTTTGATTAAAAATTCAATACATAAATCAATTTTTTATCACGGATGAATTACACAATAAAAAAAATTAAAAAAAAACCTACAAAAGCATTCTTCGAGTTTTCCTACTTTGAAAGCGTGCTAATACATCATCATCACTAACTCTTGCAAATAAGTCTCTCTCAAGATAAGTAACTAAACTATCATTCAATAGTTGATCACCCGTACTATTCCGCAACTTATTTTTTACATAATACACAATTAATTATCAATTAAAATCACAAGTCCCCAATAAACACAAATTTGACAATATAAACTTCTTCTAATTATCAAATTTCAATTAACAGAACAAGTAAAAAATTTATTTCAAAAAAAAAAAAAACAAGTAAATTTTTTTTAATTCTAACTTCTAAGTTTCTACAATTCAATTTCTCAACAATTCAAGAATTCAACAATATATCAAAACCATAAACCAATTTAAAAAATAAAACAAGCAATACAAGATTAAGAATTAATAGGAGTAGAGGAATAAGAGATTAAGAGGACTCACAATTGTAGAAGAACTCTGAAGTCTGAATTCAGAACAGTCGTCCCTCGTCCGTGTCTCCGTCACTCCGTGAGGTCGTCAGTGCTCCCGGTCGCCGGTTGGTGTCTCGGTGTGCGGTGTCGCGGCGGCTAGTGGCTACTGGCTAGGGTCATAGGGTGTCAAGGTTAGGGTTTTGGTGTTTGGGAATTTGAGGAAAATAAGAAATGTCGATGTTTGATTTCTGAAATCTGAAATTTGAATGTAAGGAGTAAAAGAACAAAAAAAAAAAAGTACAAAAAAAGAGGGCAATAGGAGTCGAACCTAAGACCTAAGACATTAAAAGGGCGCGCTGCTCTATTATTCAAAGCCTTACCAATGCACCAAACTTACCCATGTGATTATTATTCTCACAGAAATTTGTATTAACCCTTTTTCTTTTTTCTTTTTTTTTAAAAAAATTAAAACTTATAATTTTTTTCCAAAAAATCTGTGGGTTCAATGAACCCCCTTGAACCCCCCCTAGATCTGCCCCTGCCAGCCAAAGTATACTACTCTACAAACATGAAGAGTGTAATTAAAAAAGAAAAATATGAGGGCAAAGTAAAGGTTTTCATATTACAAGTAAATAAAACAGTACCAAAAGTAAATATGAAATGTAGAAATCTAAATTAACCCACAACTAAGATCTAATACAAAGTCTAAACTCTACAATACACGAATGAGCCTACATGGGATTTGAACCCACGTCTTTTGAGAATTTGCACAATGCTCTACCTATTGAGCTAATAGGCTAGTGTATTTAACATTCAGAGCAAGGAAATCTCAAAAGTATATAATATCTATACATTCATGTTGTCACTTAAGTGTATTGCTTTGATAAGACATTTCAATATCTTCGTTAAATAATAAGGTTTTCTTTGGAAGGTTTTGCTGCCCATAATTATGTTGAGATTCATATAGCATCCTTTAATGTTTACAAGCTAACACAAATAAATCATCCTTGATGAAATGTGTTGAATTGTTATGTAAAGTTGCATCAAATTAACCAGTATTAGTTTTAGGCAGACTTTGTCTTGTAATGACTTCAGGCCCCAACATTTTTTGTGTGTCAAGACTGTCAGCACTCTACAATTTTACTGTACCTAACAGTACGTATAGCAAACAATTTCAATAGAACAATGTATAGAACAATTTCAATCGAAAACATAGTTACAGAAAATCAATATATAATAAAATCGTAATACTTTGGCCAACCTACACAGCCCTAACATTAACAAAAATTAGTATTTCAACAAAAAGCACAATAAAATAGCAAAATTGCAAATTAATCAAACAAAAAAAAGCATAAACCCTAATTTTAGAATTGAAATCATTAATTCTGAAAAACTATAACATGAGTAGAACCCCAATACACCAAACTTTCACATAATTCTCATAAAAATATTGTCATAATCAACAAGTGATCAATCAAAAGCAATATTTCTTCAATCAAAACACAAATTCAATCAATTAGAAATAAATTAATATATTAACCAAAACTCTAAAAAATCGACAATAAGAATTAATTCACTTACCTCCAAAGTTAATTGAGATCAACAAGGAGCAAATATTAGATGCAGAGGGAAAATCAACGACGAAAGTGAATTTACAGCGAAATTGCGAAATTGAAATTGCTAAAGAGAAACAAAAATCACAGAGAGGAATAGAGATAAAACTTAAGAGGAGAGAGAAAATTAAAATAAGAGAGAGAAAGAGAAATGAAAGCAGTTTGTTTAAAAAAAAGAAATGAAAGCAGTTGAAACAAATTTAAGTAGGTTTTCAAAAAAAACAAATTTAAGTCATTCAAAACGCAAATTTACCAAAATACCCTTATTTAGGCGGGCGAGACTCATCCGTTGGATCAAACTTAATCAACGGCTGAAATAAGTTCCTAGTTCTTATTATTCACCTTGGTTCTCACATGATCTCAATTCTAATATGGATCGGGATCCAGTGAGAACAGGTCCTTATGTGAGAACACTACTAATATATGAGAACAAATCTAGGTCTTAGGATCAAACGTCATCAACGACTCACATCAAAAGAGCTCCATATCCATTCCATTTGTTGCACTCCTAAACGACCTCTCCGATACCACCGTTCATCTTCTCCAACTTTCCCGCGCTTCTCCATTTCCAACTCTTTCCAGGTACTTCCTTTCTCCTCTATTTCCGCCATTTTTGGACCTCAAGCTTTTTCTGCAAGTTTTTATTCTTACAACATTGGAGCTTATTGTATAGTCGGAAGGCTACAATGATCCGAAACCGACCACAAATTTGGTCGCTGACTGAGTCTCTGTCAACAACAATATCGCTCGAGCTTGCCTATTTATGTCGGCGGTTTCTCTCTCCTCGCCTTCAATCATACTGTTTCCGGCATTGCTCCTGTTGCCAACGCCAGTAGGTCATTAATTTGACTGGCGAATTTCCCGAGATTGTTGTTTGATTTAATTGTTTTGCCTGTTGATTTCATTGTATTTTGTTTATTAGTTATCGCTTTGATTTTCGAATTTAAATGATCAATTTTTATCTGGAATTTGTAATTTTGTTGTTGCTACGACAAATTCAACCTGAGATAAATTAGGGTACATGCGATTTGGTAATTGCTGCAAATGATGTCGAATATTTGTTGTTTAATCATGTTTCTGATTTTTGCATGAATGAATCGTATTATGTTGTAATTGATAGGACTAGTTTTTAAAGTTAAATATTGGTATTTTAGTTGATAATTGAAGGCATTTCAATGGTGAAGGTTATGAGAATAATTGAAGGCATTTCAATGGTGAAGGTTATGAGATGGTACTACCTAGGTTAGAATGTTGTGGAAAATCGTTCCCAACATCCTATTTGGAACCAAAAACTAGAAATTTGATCTACGGAGAGTTGTGAATTGTGAGTTTTTGTAGGAAGACTACAGGTTGTGCAAGTATATTGTAATACTTCTAGCATCTGGTATGGTGATTTATGACAAGGAGAATGGTAAGTTGTTCTCTTCTACAAGAAAGCAGTGTTTCTCAAATACTAGTAGATAAGTTATGTCAGCATAGATTTTGGTTGATGTTAGTAGTGCAATATGCTGGACTCCTGGATTAAATTTCAATTCATGATATTCTTTGTGCTAAAAAGTATTCTTTGTACATTCTGCAGCAAGTCACTGACAATACCTAGTATCGAGTTTGCAAGTTAGCAAATTTTTGAGAATTAGACACGTTGTTGCTTTGTTCTTGGAAGATGTAAGTGTACATATATACAGTACATGCTTGCGGACATTGTTAAGCGAGAATATTATAATTTGGTTGTTGATGATATATTTAGTCTACATATATGTACTGCTATTGCTTCATACTTCATGTTAAACAAAGATTCAGAATTTCAAACTTAGAATTGCAAGTATTATTGGTGTTTTGATTGTGTTTCCTACCATTGTTGTTCTGATAAATTTCAATAACTTCTCTGATTAGATTGATTATACGTGCATGATAATATTTCTGGTTTAATTATTTTGCTAATTCCAACATCATCATTAAAAGTAATATGATAGTAGCAGCCACATTGAAATATCTATTTTATACACATAATGGATTGATATTATGTAAACTCATCGATCTGAAGCAGAACTTCTCTTGTTTACTGGTTGAATTTTATCCTTTCCATAGTTCTTAATATAACATATGCGAAGTCTACTACAAATGGTAGTCTTCACATAAATTGCAAGATAAAACAGTACTCTTCATAATTCATTATTGTAGAAAACTTCAACAGTCTTCCCCTTAACAGCCTTATATACATACTTCGGTCCATCCTTTACCATCTAAGGCTGGGGTCGTTGTTCTATATCTGCTATAGAGATAGCATATGACCTTCAGGAGAAAAGTACATGAGCCATAAGGTCATCACTTAGGCCATCAGTGCATATAAGCCAATCTGAAATGTGAATAATGTGATGAAATACACAAGAATGATATTTGTAGTGTTCTAATTGCAAGGCTAACCAGTTTTTGTCACTGCAAGAAATAAATGAGCAATCAATTTTTTACTCATTTAGCAAATGAGCAAATAGTTAGTTGCTCATTTGTCAAATGAGCTAATAATTAGTTGCTCATTTGTCAAATGAGCTAATAATTAGTTGCTCATTTGTCAAATGAGCTAATAATTAGTTGCTCATTTGTCAAATGAGCAAATACTTAGTTGCTAATTTAAAAAATGAGCAAAAACTTAGTTGCTCATTTGACAAATGAGCAAAAACTTAAAACATTTCTTTAATCATTCATTAAATCAACAAGTATTTCTTTGCTCATTTATCAAATGAGCAACAATTCTTTGTTCATTTTTATCAAATGAGCAAACAATTCTTTGTTGATTTATCAAATGAGCTGATGAAAAATTTATAACATAGAAAATGATTTAAAACATATGATAAACCTATTAGCTCAATTGGTAGAGCATTATGCAAATGCATAGGGGATGTAGGTTCAATTCCTACATAGGTTATCTCCATAAACAAAATTAATTAAAAAAAAAATAATCAAATTCGTACTTAATTATATGAGCAAAAAAATGGTTTGAAATGATTTATAACTATGTAAACTTTGTTTTACAATTGTGTTTCCACATTACATAAATGAACCTGCGTGGGATTCGAACCCACATCTTTTGTGCATTTGCACAATGCTCTACCCTTGAGCTAGTAGGCTAACGTATTTAAAACATTCAAACACACTCACAAATGAGCATTAATTTGACAAAATGAGCAAGAATCATTTGCTCATTTGACAAATGAGCATTAAATAGTTTGCTCATTTGACAAAGGAGCATTGAATTTTTTTGCTCATTTGACAAATTAATGCTCTAATGAAGCTAGATAGGATCTGATGATCAAAATTGTTTAGTTTGTGCTGATGCAAATGAGACTCGATCTTAGGCAGTTGAACAAATGGTATTTGCTTGTAACTTTGTGAGTAGTATATGATATGTTGTGATACAGTAGTATGTTGTGTTTGCTCTTATTATTATACCAGCTAAGAGCATGATATTCATCTCTTTTCAGAGACTCAACAAAGAGTCAGGATGCAAGAGGACAAAAACAACTTATATCAACTTTTAAAGCAGAGAAAGCCCTAGAATCAGATGGATACATGTCCAAATTCTAATGGTAACACGCAAGAAAAAGTCCTAGAATCAGACTAAAATATTTGCAAATTCTAATTACAACACACCAGAGAAAGTCCTAGAAACAAATAGATACATTTTCAAACATGAAAATACACTCATCGGTAAAAAAAATATTTGGGTACTCATCTACTTTATTTGTTCATTTTTCAAATGAGTAAATAATTATTTGCTTATTTGATAAATGAGCAAAAAAGTATTTGCTAATTTGATAAATGAACAAACAATTATTTGCACA